CAGGGATCCGCCCCCGGAGGAGCCCCGTGGATCCCTCGCTGTTCCCGCTCTCCCGCCTCTCTCCCCCGCGATCGCTCCTCCCGGGAATGCAGCTCCGAGTCCCCGAACCCTCCCCGGGGCTCCTCCCGCCCACCGCGGCTCCGTTTCCATCCTGGGAGCCCTTTGGGATGGCAGAGCTCATCCCCAGCTGGCGCYGAGCCGGGATTTGGGGGCTCTGAGGGGACCGGTGGCACCCAAGTGACGTTCSTGGGGCTGTGACCGTTCCTCCGGAGCCCTCTTCACCTGGAATCACCCGGAATCGCCTGGAATCACCAAACCCCCGTCCAGGCAAACCCATTATTGCTTTGGAGTCCCGATCGCGCCTTTCCGTGCCATTCCCACACCCCAAATCCAAGTCCTTTCTCCCGGTCTCTCCAATCCCCGGGTCCGGCTCTGCCTCTTTTCCCATCGCACTTTTCCGGGAAAAACGGGGGAATTCTCCTCTTCCTCGCTCTGGTGCGCCATCCAGGGAGCTCCCAAATCACCCCCATCCCTCCCCCCCGGCCCGGGCGCGCCCGGGGGTGGCGGAGCGGGGCTCACCCCGCTGGGAACGCGGCCCGCCGGGCGTTGTAATCCGGGCACACCTTCTGCACCAGGCGGTAATCGCTGCTGTCGAAGGTGATGTAGACGCAGACGAGGCGGGCGGGCCGCGAGCAGAGCCAGGCGGAGCGGCTCCGCGTGTGCTCCTGCGAGCAGCTCCGCGCCGGGTCGTGCGGGCACGGAGAGGTTTTCCTCGCCCGCTCCGCCCGCTCCGACTCCACGCGGCAGTTGAACACCTTGGACTCCTTGGCCTCGATGAAGATCTGCTGCTCCACGCCGAACTGCACGGCCTTGGTGGGCGGCACGAGGCTGACGGAGATGTTGCCGCGGCCCGTGGAGTTGTGCTGGAAGAAGACGCTGACGCTGCCGTTGCCGTGATCCACCACCTTGCCCGTGATCAGCAGGTTCAGCTTCACCGTCTTGATGTTGGAGTAGAAATCCCCCCAGCCGAAAAGCTTCTGCGGCCGCTCCGATGGTGGCCCCAGGTCGCGCTGTGCCCGGGCCAGGCTCTCCAGGACATCCCGGAGCTGTCGGGAGCCGCGCTCCGGCCCCTCCGGGCTCCCGTTCTGCGCTCTCGTGGGCAGCAGCTCCCGCAGCCTCTGCTCCTGGCTCCGGGGTTCTTCTCGATCGGCGCCTTCCCGGGGCTCCTCCGCAGCGCAGAGCGCCTGGGGGCGGCCGTGGAGGAGCTCAGAGGTGGCGCTGGACCCCCTGAGCCCTGCCCGGCCTTGGTTYCCCTTCCCCTCCTTCGCTTCTCTGATTTCCCCTCCGTTCTCTGTTCGCGTTTCCCCTCCGGCAGCGCCTTTTCCCGGCTCTGAAACCCTTTGGGGGATCCCCGAGGGGGCAGCGCCCACCCTGAGCCCCTCAGCCCCGTCCCCTGCTCCCGACCCCGCCAGAACCTGGGGACAGCACAGGGGACAGCAGAGTTGTCACCGGGGAGCTGCCCTGAGCCGTGCCCGGGCTCCTCCGCCGACCCCGCTCCTGGAAAACCCGAAATTTTCACCTCCTGGGGGGCAATGGGGACACCCGGGGGTGCTGCAGATCCATCGCCCCCCTCCAGAGGGGCTGGGGGTCCCGAAAAGCCCCGGGGAGCGCGGGGGCGACCTGGCCGAGGAGGCAGCGGGGAGCGGAGCGCGGAGCCCGGAGCTCGGAGCCGGCCTGTCCCCGGCTCTGCCCCAGCCCCGGGGGTCCCGAGCCGCCCCCCGCCCGCTCCCCGCGGTGCTGGGAGGGGGTGCGGATTTTTGGGGTGATCCCGGAGSGTTCTCCCGGCCAGCCCTGCCCGCTCTCCGCGGTAAAACGCGGTAAAACGACAGAAGTTTTGGGACGCGTTTTCTCCCGGAGGCGGGCGGGGATGCGCGGGTGGGTTCGGGGATCGCTGCCGGCTGCCAGCCCGCCCTGTCCCCTGTCCCTCTGTCCCCTGTCCCCCTGTCCCCTGTCCCCCCGAGCCCCCTCCCCTCCTCTCCCGGCTCTCACCACCAGCGCGATGCTGCCCTGGAGGAGGAGGAGGACGCAGCTCGGAGGAAAATGCATTTCGCAGCCGGCGCCGCCGCCTTCTCCGTGCCGCCGGTTTGGGGAGGGTTTCGCTGGGATTTTCCGCCTTTTTCCTCCTTTCCCTCCCTTCTCCTCCGGCGTCAGCGAGGGGAAGGGGGGGTCCCCCGGCAGAGCGGCTCCCTACGGCCCCCCCGGCCCATGGTGGCCCCGGCAGCTCCCGCCCCGCGGGGCCGCTCCGGGCGAGGGGAGGCGGCCGCCGCTGTCCCCGCGTCCCCTTTCGCTGTCCCCTCCTCCCCTGTCCCCCTGCCCGCCCCGCTGCATCCCGGCCCCCCCTCCGGCCGCCCTCCGGCCGCCCCCCGGCTCCCCCGCCCGCCCGAGTCTCAGGGAAACTCCGCTCCATTTCT